CAACCGGGGGGGGGGGCGCGGTCGCGGCTGCGCCGCCACCACGCGGCGAAGCCGCGTGGCCAGTGTACTGATAATGTCCAGTAAACTGGCTACCTACCGCAGCCAGTTCTCGTTGTACTGGCGCTGCGCGCCAGTCCCCAACCATACGTTCGGGGGATTCCCGCTCGGCGCCATGGCCATCAACCAATCATCTGTCTCTGTCCTACATAATGTCCTACATAGTCGACACGTGATCGGTGGGAGGACGGCATCTACCCGGCTCTACCCCTCTAAAACTTCGATGATTTTGTTTTGTTCTTTCGGTCCAACATGAGTTTTTCCCTACGTATGGGTGCTCTGCCGGGAAACCTCCAGATCTGATACCCCGAAATACAGGAATAAAAACGCCTCTGGCCAAGAAATTCGACGGTTCAATAAACAGTAATCGGCCAGGTCTGCCTCGCCAAACCTGCTACTCGGAGTATTTGTTTGTGCTCATTTTCATCTGTTGCGCTCACCTGAAAAAATTCTCTCACCGCCCTGATTGGTTCGTGAGATTTAACACGCCTCTTTCCTACACGTGCGTTGACGACGCTTTGTCCCCCACCTTTGTACCTTCTGTCAGGAGTGAACAAGCTCGAGGGTTCACAAAGCCCGTGCAATTGACCCGCATCAGCAACAACAGCATGTATATAAGAACATCTGTCTACACTCGCAAGCGGTGGAAATAGAGGGCCATAGATAAGACTAGAGGATGCCTGTCCTTTTTTTTGTTCGGGGGCTTTTCTTTTGCTGGTCCGAAGATCCCAGCGTGACGGCAGTAGGGTAGAGCCGGACTTGGTTCAAGCGGTGGAAATAGAGGGCCATAGATTAGACTAGAGGATGCCTGTCCTTTTTTTTGTGCGGGGGCGTTTTTTCTTTTGCTGTTCCGACAGTCCCGGCGTGACGGCAACAGGGTAGAGGCGGACTTGGCTCAAGCGGCGGAAATAGAGGGCCATTGATTAGACTAGAGGATGTCTGTCCTTTTTTTTGTTCGGGGGCTTTTCTTTTGCTGGTCCGAAGATCCCAGCGTGACGGCAGTAGGGTAGAGGTGGACTTGGTTCAAGCGGTAGAAAGCCATAGAATAGACTAGAGGATGCCTGTCCTTTTTTTTGTGCGGGGGCGTTTTTTCTTTTACTGTTCCGAAAAAGCGAGAGGCGAGAGCCCGAAAAGAAAAGAAAAAGGAGAAACGAAGGAAAAGTAACAAAAAGGGAAAAAGAAGGAACAGAACAAAAAATCTGGACGTGATTGTACTTGTTTTTTTTTCATCATTTTTGTTGGTCTTGCGTGCGGAGCATGAGCGGTGAGCTCTGTGGATCGATCTCCCTGTCGATCACCTTTGTTCGTGGCGTTTGTCTGGGATGACGTCTTATCGCGGCTGCTGTGTTGAATTTGTGCGCGTCCTTTCAATTCTCTTTGGATTTTTTTTTTTTTCTGAATATGACACAACGAGTCCATCTCTATCATATATTTTGGAATATGCGGAGTTTTTCCATCGTCAGTTTGACCATTGAAATGTTGGAGGTCGCTTGGCGGAGATTGTAACCGCTTGTTCGTGAAGGAAGAAACAAGCAATTGCGAAAAGGCTGCCGCAACGAGACGACGCGAATGACGCGCTCCGAAATAGTGTTGTTCGGTGCAATGCCCTCGGCGTTGAAGCGGGTTTTTCGGGACATGGAGCAATGTGGTGTATCGAGGGTTTCAGGGGAGGATTGAGAGGGAGGGATTGAGGATCGGGGCGAAGAGAAAGAGAGGCAGATGCGAGGACCCAAAGAGTGAAAAAGAAAGAAAAAGGGAAAAATGGACAAGCAAAGAAAAAGGAAAAACGAGGGGGAAATAACAACAGAAAAACGGGCGGAAAAATAATGTAGCGAAAATGACACGTAGGAAAGCTACCGAGGCTTGCGTGGCGGGCTGACGAGACGAAGCACCAGCAGCGACGAGCAGCGATACGCTAAGGAGTGAAATGAATGCCGAGACGGGTGTTGGGATCGTGATCTGCATGTCGTTTTTTGAGGGTTTCAGAGAAGGATTGAGAGGGAGGGGGGGAGGGAGCGAAGGGAGAGCGAGAGCCCGACAAAAACGAACCCTAGAAGAAGGAAAAAATCGCAGAAGCAAAGAAAAAGGAAAACACGAAATGGAAAAGGAGGGAGGGGAGCAAAATGTACGGGTGATGGCTTGAAGCGACCGCGAAGGTGACCTTGCTGGTGTGGCCAACACCTGTTCGGAGGGTCGAGAGTGAACGGGGTGCGACCGGCTCGACAACGGTGATTGCAGACGCAATACTCGCAGCTGCTGTTGTATTTTCCCTGTGTTCACTTTCCTGGGGTTTAGCACGAGGCCGGGTGTCTTTTTGTGTGTCGGCGTGCGGCGGGGACGAGAGTCCGTGAGTTGCGAAAACTGGCATGAAATACTCCGGCAAAGGGATGCCGGGGATTGGGTTTCTTATACAGTACCGAGCGGGGGAGAGAGAGATGGGGTGAGAGAGAGAGAGAGAGAGGAGTATGAGCGAGAGGGAGAGAGGGTGAGAGGGATTGGGAAGGGATTCGAACGATTCACATTCAATTCGGAAGTTTTGGATATGTTCAAAACAGTCGATGGGACGACGGTTTTCGTCGATTTTTGGGGGGGAGATTTCGTAGCAGTTAGGGGGGTTTGCTGGACTTGCCGTATCGTGACGATGCGTACGAGCAGGGGGGGTGATGGATTGCGTGGCACGATATTTTGTGTTGAGTACTTGTCTCGGGTGAATGTGATTACTTAATTGGGTAATTTCCTGGGTTCTGCCGTGAGTTACGGCACAGAGAGAGAGAGAGAGAGAGAGAGAGAGAGAGAGAGAGAGAGAGAGAGAGAGAGAAAGAGAAAATGG